AGCATAGCTTATTGAAATGTCAGGTCTTCACAAGTGGGCTCTGCTCAGCACCGTGTGCACCAGTGTGATAAGCCCGTCCTCACCTCAAAGCCACAAAGGCCGTTACTCATTCCCCGTCTGTGACTAAGAGGTTCAGAGGTAGCAGCAAAGTCCCCGACGCTGTTTCATAGGCACAGTGTGGTACCCAGATGACTCCAGCCTGTATCAAGTTAACATAAAATGGGCCAGCACATATTACTTTTCATGGCAACTGGGATTTGCAGATGGAATTCTGGGTGTGAAGGGGACGGGTATCCTGTATCAACCAACAAGGACCCGGAAAAGGCAGGAGTAGGAGAGAGAGAGCATGCTAAGCTGTTGGCTTTGGTAGAGGCAGGGTCTCGAGCCAAGGAGTGTTGGAGCCACTAGCTCAGTGACTTAGGAGAGTCAGTCCCAGGATGTTTCTTTTGGCTGCCAGGACACGTGATGAAATCCAGAGCTCATGGTGCCTTGTTGTGGAAAGTTTTACTCTTTTGGCATTTTGAGGGGCTCGCCACCCAACTCCCAAATAAATCACACAGAGGCTTATTCTTTGTTATGAATGCCCAGCCTTAGCCTGGCTTGTTTCTTGCCAGCTTGTCTTATCTTAAATTATCCTGACTACCTTTTGCTTCTGGGCTTTTATCTTTCTTTATTTCTGTATACTTTTCTTTACTTCTTTCTCTGTGGCTTGCTGTGTAGCTGGGTGGCTGGGCCCGATGGCCTCATCTCTTTGTTCTCTTCCTGCTTTCTTCTCTCAGTTTTCTCCTGTTTGTCTTTGCCTGCCAGCCCCACCTATCTTTGCTCCTGCCTTGCTATCGGTTGTTCAGATCTTTATTATAACCATCAGGTGTTTGAGACAGGCACAGTAACACAGCTCCACAGAGTTAAACAGATGCAGCATAAACAAAAGCAACACCTGAAAATAACGCCCCCAACAGTGCCTGTTAGCATCAAAGCCCAGTGAGCGAGACCAGAGCTGTTAGGGGCGGGGAAATGGTCAGACAAGCCAGGCGGACACTCTGACCTCTGGAACTGACGAGGGCAGCAGGCATGGTTAGAGCCACTTTTGTACTGCATGGTATGGGGCCCTTTAAAGAAAAAGTACAATTTTAGGGCTTGAAAAGATGGCGCAGTGGTCAAAAACTGTATATTTCTACCTTGTTAGTATGTAAAAATGCCTTTTTGTGTGTGTGTGTGTGTGTGTGTTTTCTCTGTGTGTAGCCCTGGTTGTCCTGAAGTTCTGTAGACCAGGCTGGCTTCAAACTCACAGAGGTCGGCCTGTCTCTGCCTCCTGAGTGCTGCGATTAAAGGCACATGCCACCTCCACCTGGTTGTGTGTATCTTCTTTTGTGCCTAAAAACTTTATCTGCAGGGCTGGAGAAATGGCTCAGCGGTTAAGAGCACTGACTGCTCTTCCAGAGGACCCAGGTTCAATTCCCAGCACCCACATGGCAGCTCACAACTGTCTGAAAATCCAGTTCCAGGGGATCTGACACTTTCACGCCAATGCACATAAAATAAAAGATAAATACATCATAAAATTAAAAAAAAAAACTTGATCTGCTTCTAGAATTCCCAAGTGTAATTATCATGAGCCAATATTCGGTTTAAGGTTCAATCTTCCATTGTATGTGAGCTGTGAACGTGTGAAACGTGTAAGTAAACGCTCCGGGTTCAGCCCTCACTTCCAGGCACACACTTTCTCCTTCCCTCGGGCCTCTGTGGAAAAGGAGCTGCTGGCTGTTTCCCCGGTTCTTCAGGGCCTTTACATCTCTTACAGGATGCACAGACATATTTTGGGATCTTGGTATATTTTCTCTTCTTGCTTTTACAAGGTAGTTTGTAGTAATGAGGAGCAGGCCACATCCCACCCGGCTCCCGGCCACCTGGCTAGCTTATGCCCGAAATAATCACACGGAGATCTGTATTAATTAAATTGCTGCCTGACTCATTAGCTCTAGCCTCTTATTGGCTAACTCTCGTATCTTGATTAACCCATTTCTATTAATCTATATTTTACCACGATGTGGTGGCTTACCGGGAAAGATTCAGCATGCCTGACCTGGCGGCTGGCTCTGTGGCAGCTCTCTCTGCCTCTTCCTTCTTCCTCCCAGGATTCAGTTCTGTCTCCCCGCCTATCTAAGTTTTGCCCTATCAAAAGGTCATGGCAGCTTCTTTATTTAACCAATGAAAGCAGCACATAGTAAGAAGACCCTCCTATACCAGTAGCTCACTCACTGTCAGGGTCCTAAGAGTCTGTCTTAGTTCTTATTGAAATGCAGTGTTCTCAGCTGTGCATGGTGGTCTGTGCCTGCTGCGTCTTTTCCTTCCATGTATCTCACTGCTGCTTATGTCTGCCCAGCTGGTGTCTGTCTGGCTTTTTGCCCGGACAACATCTCCCTTGTTCTGTCCTCTCTTCTTCTGGAGCCTAGATTCCTCTTCCTATTTATTCTGTCTGCCAGCCCTCCTATCCTTTCTCCTGTCTAGCTATTGGCTGTCCACCTTTTTATCAGGTGCCTTAGGCAGGTGAGGGGAAACAAATGCAACATATCTTTATATAGTTAAACACACATCCGTACATTGTTAGACAAATGCAGCCCATCTTCACATAGTTAAACACACATCCGTACATT